AAATATTAACTATCGTAATGAATAAAAATATTGATAATATAAAATTAAAAACTCGTTGTTGGAAATAATGTACATACACACATACATACACTTTGTTCATAACATAGGAAATCACCTGATATGACGTAGTTTCTGCAATCTGAGTGGACGTCACGAAGCCTCTCGCTTTGCCCGTTCAACTTCGAAAAGAATAAAAGCATGCAGCGTCTCCATGGTGAAAAAAGTTTACTAATTCTTAAAACATAATAACTGTATTCGCCTTTCTTCGTTTCACCTAGCTACGTTTTTTATTATACCAAATTACGAAAAAAACAAGTCGTGCATACGGTGGTAATACGATACGCCTGTCCACAAAAGTTGCAATGCCACTCACAACCTGCGTAACTGCCTCTGTGGCCGAACGGTTACCATGCCGGACTGCCACGTAGAGGTCCCAGGTTCGATTCCCGGGCCGGGAAAAATATTTGTATGACCTACATTTGTTTCTCTCGTGAGTTTGGGTATAAATTGTGGTTGTCTATATGTGTGTCCATTTTATTATTATTATTAAAACCTTAAATCGCTGAGATTGGAGGGGCACTGCCACTGCGCCCTTCACCCTGAGACATAAGTTGACAAGTCCCATGTGCCTATAATTTCACCAGCACCTATACCCTCCAAAACCGGAACACAGTAAGAAACAGGTAAGGTAGGCAGTACTTCTCTGGACGAACTCTTCCACAAGGAGCTCTACTGCTAACACTAAACATTATAATAATATTTATTATTTATAAAGTATATTACAATTTATAACCACCAATAAGCGTATTATGAACACAGTTGTCCCTTTTTTTTAAAACTACAGTACTTCCGCTTCTCGCACATTTTTCCTTAATAAATTATTTTCAAAAGTATATTTTTATTTTTTTACTGCGTCATAAATATGCAACAAAAGCGGAAGAACAAGAGCTATCAGGTTTTAAGCAATAAAATTATTAAAAAAATATATATTAATGTTTTTTCACGATTATATTTCATAGTTAATTACATTTTGAGTTTCTTAATTTTAGGCATTATAGCCAACTCTCAATAAATAAATAAAAACAAAATCAGATTTTAAGGATCTAAAGGGTGATGTCCATTTAACGAATCAGCATCAGAATCACATCTCAAAAATTGCAAACAGATTTATGGTTATGTGACATATTACTTTAAAGAGGCAGAGTGGACGGGCCATCTAACTATCGTCTTACGTACTCTATTTTCCCTTTAAAAATATTATATAAACAACAGATGTCCATATCGAGTAAGTAGTTAGGTTTTGTACACATTGGAAATGAAACTATTTTTCCGGATTTAAAAGCAGTTAGCCATGACCGTTGACTTTGTGAAGAGCCCGAAGCTTTGGTTTGATTGCAAAAGCGACAGTCTAATACCCCTTTTGCCCGGTCGCCATCTTGAATTGGCCATTTTGAAAAAAATATTTTGACATCCAGTTGGCTCTCATCGCCCTCTACGATATAGAACTCAGTAGAAACTGCTCAGAGTGTGGATCAATATTTGTTCTGGAACCTCGGGACCATGACCTGCGGGTCCTTGTTCGCCTACCGATATGCGGAGAACATTCCAAACGAGAGAATGTAAGTGATTTTAAACCCGGAAAAAATATTTTAATTTTTATATAAATCCGTATTTTAATAACTTATTTTGACAAGAACCTTTATACTGCGAGGTACAAGAACATAAAGTGTCTACATGGATTTGTAGAGTTGCTTGACGACTTAATGCATTCACTTATGCATAATTTATAGAAAAATATTTATTATAAGAACGGACTTTTAATATAATTACCGTGTCTGAGCTTGCTTCAACTCATTCGCATTAAGTTAAACGGTGGACGCGGTGTGTAGCAAGAACTTATTATTTCCAATACCATTCATAGGAAATGTGTTGTATCGAATGTTTAGTGCTTCTTCCTGAAAGTATTATAAAAAGGTTAGTGAGCTAAGTAGCAAACTACGGTGGTGTTTTCCATGACATTTTAATTTTAGGGCTTTATTACCTCATTACAATTACCATTTCATCATCCTTCTCAATTTCACGGTATTTTAATGGGAAATGCACACTAAAAAAATGTTATTGATCTGAGCATCTGAGTTATCTAGTAGCAGTGGATCTAAATGTTTATTGAATTGATATTAAATTATTTTTATGTGAAATTACTCAACTAGTTTGTTATAATTATTAACACAAAGATCGAACACTCAGAAAAAATTCTTTCGATCCGGGCGGATTCGAACCGACGCCTTCTAGCATACCGTGCCAGACGCTATACCAACTAAGCCACAGAACGAACCAGCGGACCTCACGAATTTTTCTGTATGCTTGCGTCGTATCTTTGCATTTAGTTTATCAACGACTTTTTAGCCGTAGCGCCATATATGAGAAATCTGTCAAAGACGGACGGGTCTCACCCCTTGTCGGACCCAACAATAGGATGTAGAAATGGGTTGATGATGATAATCAATAGATTTAATTTTATAACAAATATTTTTTCTATTTATAAAAAACACAGCCTAAAATTGAAGGGACTTCCTTGACTTTTCGCAAACCATGTTCAAAATTTTAATTAATCTTTTCATGATAATATTTACAGCAGCTCTGCAATATTATTGCGTAAATAATAATGTAGTATTTTATACCGTATTTGAATGTACAGCACTGTAATAATCAAAATCTGTTTTCATTACGTGTCAGGTGTCAGTTATACTACCACATTTTCTCGCAAAAAATATTTATATCATTGATTCTGTTGTAAATAGCAACATTTCAATGTACATTTGATACGAAACATTGATATTTCTAGAAATATATATTTTTTGGCTTCCGACATTGTGAGCAAACTTCCGATTGCGTCGAACTTGTACAAAGTTGATATTCGTTAAAAAACGAGCCATTGATGATTGGGTTAAATATTCAAGATCCTTCCATCTGTTAAGTCGAAGAAATACTAACGTTGTGAGGCGCATATAAGTTTCCGGAATGAATAAGAAAAAAATACTATAAATGGTCAGAAATGAATTTATTGTTTCTCAAAATATTCTCCGTTAGCGTTAATGCACTTTTTCATACGAATGAACCAATTTTGAAAACATTAATGCCACTCCTCCGTGACAATCTCTGAAACATATTTTTCATACTCTTTGACAGCCTCTTCAAGTGATGAAAATCGTTAACCGCGTAACTGGTTCTTTTTGGAAATAAATAAAAGTCACAAGGTGCTAGTCCCGACGGACTGTATGTGGGATGGCTCATAAGTTCAACGTTATTCACCTTCAAAAATTCATTTGTCTGTCTGGCCGTGTGAGAATTGGCATTATCGTGGTGCAAGATGATACGGCGTTTACGGTTATTTTTACGGAGTTTGTCAATAACTTCCGGCAAACAAATGGTCGTGTACCAATCACTATTCACGGTACAACGATCCAAAGCAACAGTAGCCACGTGTCCAGTTTTATTAAAAAAAGAAGCAATTATCCGCTTAGAGGCACTTTGCACGCGCGCCACTTTATTTGGTTTCGGCTCATCTCGAAAGACAACACGCTCGATTGCTGCTTTGTTTTGGGATCGTACGTATAAATCCATGTTTCGTCACTTGTTACTATGTCCCACACCAAATTTGACGCTCCTTCGTTGAAGCTGGTAAGCATGGCATTGCACCAAGTGACGCGATCCGTTTTTTGAGCCTCAGTCAAATTGTATGGGATCCACTGAGAGCACAGCTTTTTCACACCCAAATGTTTGTGTAGTATTGATTGTATTTTAACTCATGCCTATGCCTAAAGATGCCCGAATGTTGCGGTATGTCACATGCCTGTCAGTTTTGATCATACGGTGCACAGCATCGATGTTTTTGTTGTTCACAGCAGTGGACGGGCGACCACCACGGAATTCGTCACTGAGATTCATACGACCGCGTTTGAATTCTGCAAACCAGCTGTAAATAGTCGTCTTGCATGGTGCTTCATCACCAAAAACAGTGTGAAGCCGAGTGAAGCTCCGCTGAGCTGTTTATAAATTACACTTAAAATCGTAAAAAACCATACTACGAAAATTTTCGCGAGTTAAATCTATGGTGATGTAGACAACCAATTTCTAAAATGACGCCACAATGTAAAAACAAGTGACAATCAGATGAAACAAACTGTATTCTATAGCCAAAGGTTCCATTTTCAAATGTTGTAATTACTTTTTAAATATTGTTTATGTAAGAGGCCAGTTCCGGAAACTTGTAGTGCGCCCTATGTATTTTTCGTCAAAAAATGGAATTTTTACTTATAAATAGATCAAAAGGAAACAAAATGTTTTTAAAACATTTTGTTTCACTCAAATTGTTAATTTGGCTTTCATGCCTCATCTTCCTTGAAGCATTGATAATGATACAGTGTGGCAACATACGCAGGTCCGAGCTCAGTAAGATCGAAATAATTTTTCTTAGTGTTGTCCGATCTTTGTATCAATAACAGTGTTCGTTTTATTTTTATGATACTAAGTGCCAGGACGCACAAGTCGTGCGCCTGATGGTAAACGACACGCCTGTCCATAGCTGTTGCAGTGCCACTCAGAGCTTTAAATATCAAAGATCTGAACGGTAGCTACGGCCATTGTGCCTGTCACCCTGAGACATAATTTGAAAAGTCCCATGTGCCTGTAATTTCACCAGCACCGGTTATCCTTCAAAACCAGAACGCAGTAATGCTCATATTATTTCTTGGCGGCAGAAATAGGTAAGGTATTTCCCTGGACAAACTCTGTCACAAGGAGCTCCTTCCGGAGCTCTACTGCAACTGTATTATATTTGTTAATGCATTCGTTAATAAATGGGAATTCTATTTGTTAATTCATTCGTTAATAAATGGGAATTCTATTTGTTAATGCAAATATTTATGTCACGCTGTATATAGCACATAGTCAAATTAAGAATTTTCATTTCTTTTTTAGCTAAGCGATGTTAGCTCAACTGATATTTATTGCCTCTCTACCACTGGTGATATTGTTCTGGTGGTATCACTGCCGCATGGTGCTATATACTGGTCGTATTCCTGGACCACTCATTTGGCCACTTCTGGGAAACGCTGCCATCTTCATGATTAGACCTGGAGGTAAATAGTAATTAATAAATTCTATCTATTAAATTCTTTGGCTATATGTTAAAAATATTGTACAAATGAATATACGAAAATATTACAGACGGGGCAAGGGGTACCCACGTGCACATTTATCTGCGCAAACTTTGCCTAGAGCACTGGATTGCAAGTGAATGATCGCAAAATATTTAGAACCGAATATAAACTGAAACTTTTTTTAGAAATATAGCGTAACTTTGATCGTAATTAAGAATTTGATGGTTATGAGATAAAAAAATGCAGGTGCTACACTGATTTCTGAGAAAATATATGGACATAAACAAAACAATCTTAGTGCAGAGTACTAAGAAACCGATCTCAAAAGTCATTCACCCCTTAGTTTGCCACCCTTGGAGGTTATTACACCCTTGGTGGATTATTTTCTTCTAATTTGAATAGAACCACGACTGAGTTTACTCTCTTTGTAACAAAAAAAGAATCATAAAAATCGGTTTTCAAATGGAGCTACCGCGAAACATATGTACATATAAAAAATAATAACAATAATAAACACACTCAACATAGCCCTGCACTAGGGAAAACCTGTGTCGCGGGTGCCACATACTCACACATAGACAACCACAAATTACACCCAAACTCACTACATAAATAAATGTAGGCCATACAAATATTTCTCCCGGCTCGGGAATAGAACCTGGGAGGCACCGGACTGCCTCTCAGGCCAGTTCGTTTAGAACCGTTCGGCCCCGGAGGCAATTAATTAAAAAAACAACTTACTGCTATGAAGTAAACAATACAGGCTACACTATTTTCTGAGATACAAAAATCTATGGACATAAACAAAAAAAGGTTAACCAGTGACGGCGTGTCCATATGCCAAATCGGAACTAAGTACCTACTTACTTACTTAACTTATTTGGGCAACTACCCAAGAGCCTTGATTTGACCCAAACAAACCGCCTACCTCTCTTCCTCCGTTCCAGATACAGCCCCTAAGCACACTTACTCACTGCGCTCAATTACCCCAAATCAAAACTCTAATGGCGTTTTAACCTTTGTTCTGGGACTGTCGGCTATAGCTGGCATTAATAAAACGATAACTATTACATGCAAACTAATAAATAATAAATAAATAAATAAATAACGCACACACTCAACATAGCCTCGCACTAGGGAAACCCTGTGTCGCGGGTGCCATGGACACACACATAGACAACCACAAATTACACCCAAACTCACGAGAGAAATAAATGTAAGCCGTACAAACATTTCTCCCGGCCCGGGAATCGAACCTGGGACCTCTGCGTGGCAGTCCGGCATGGTAACCGTTCGGCCACGGAGGCAGCCACGGAGGCAGCAAACTAGCCTTAAGTGAGTGGTTTCTAAGATATTCAGCTTTCAAAATGGTACAGCGCTAAGTGCACATCAAGCTTGATAACTTAAGACGCTATACAACCACAAATAGCTTTAGTTTATTCCGCATAACAGTGAAAGTGTTGAATCAAACACTTTAGAAAAAATATATAGTAAAATAGAGGATATACCTGCACTGGTTACTCTATGCGGTGTGAAAACATGATTCCTAAAAATTTTCATGATAGGAAAAATAACATAAACTTTACCACTTTTATTACATCGATATCTCCCACGTAAGTTGTTGTAAGTCAAAGTACCATATTATGCTTTATAACTTAAATGTATCCTTTTTTATGTATATTATAGGTTCCATTTTTAAAACTAAAGAAATAAGTTAGTGTTCGGTTTTCAAACATGGAACCTTTAATATACACAAAAAAGGATATATTTAAGTTAAAAAGGAAAATATGGTATTTTGACTTACAACAACTTACGTGAGAGGTATCAAAATTTTCTTGATACAAAACCGCTGTTCAAAAGTTACTTAACATATATATACCAATGACGTATTTATATCAACTGAACTTTATAGAACAATTTTACTATACGTGTATACTATACGATAATATATTTTTGAAATGGCTTTAGTAAATGGCGTTTTATAAACGAATAAAAAAATAAATTCTGAAACAAACCCCGTATCGCTGGCGCTCGACCCAAGCAAAATGAACCGTATTACTACGGGAAAAAAAATTTAATTCGACCTGAGGTATCGACTCTTAAATAGTTCGTATTATTAGTATCTATTATTAGTTCGTATTAATAGTAGTATCGACTCTTAAGATTAAGTTTGTGACTTATAAAAAGAGGTTTAAGTTCGCTTTTCTTTTAAATTAAATGGACTTGCTCTTGAGCAAAGATAGGATCTCCGATGGAACGAGCTCGCCCAGAAGATGCCTATTCAGTCATACCTAGATACTCGGGTTGTATGAGCTCGGAAACACAGTCCAAGGCAGGGAATTTTATTCCTGATCTGTGCGCACAAGATGACGTTAGCTCTTAGAACGCCTGAACGAAATATCGTCAAGAAAGGATGATGTCCCGCCGTACGTCTGGATATCCAATAGTAAAAGGGTACGGGCAGGATGAGTTGATGGAGCGCTTGGGCACACTCACCGAAATATATTCTGTAGAAAACCGAGAGGCAACTTCATATCAACCAAAATGGTGTTTACAAAACGAATTTTGATTAAGTTTAAGCAAGAAATTAAATAAAACTTTGGTTTTGTAAAAAAATATGCTTGGATGCCATTTTGAAAAATCCTTGTATTTTAAAAATATATAAAATGGTGGACGGGGGTTAAGCTCCATAATAAATAAATCAAACCTCAATAAAAGACGGATATTGCGTACATTATTTTTCTGTTACTACAGCGTCGCTTAGGTGACGTGTCACCGAGCGCCGTTTAAAATAATTATTGTCACGAATTGATAAGTGTTATATTTTTTATTCTAGATCAACTGACCCTTGTAGATGAATTAATGAAACGTTATGGACAATACGTGAGATTATGGTTGGGACATGAATTAAACATCATTGTCGGGAACCCAGCTGATGTTAGGGTACGTACTAAACTTTTTGATTACTTCATTATCATCATTTCAGTCCACAGACATCCACTCCTGGATATAAAAGCTCAAAGCTTGCCACGACAACCGGTCTTGCGCTGCTTGCAACCAGCGTATTCCCGCAACCGTCGTGTGTTGTCTGTCCACATTTGTCTTCCGGTGCGTGGTTGCTACTCGAGATCTCTTTGGCTCCATCGGCTATCTCGATACCTCCAATGAACACTTCGCCAACTTAATGCCTCCGTGGCCGAACGGTTACCATGCCGGACTGCCACGCAGAGGTCCCAGGTTCGATTCCCGGTCCTGGAGAAATATTTGTATAGCCTACATTTATTTCTCTCGTGAGTTTGGGTGTAATTTGTGGTTGTCTATATGTGTGTCCATGGCACCTGCAACACAGGGTTTCCCTAGTGCGGGGCTATGTTGATTGTGAGCGTTATTATTATTACTATTATAATTATTCGTCGAGTATACAACCAGAAACAGAGACAAAATGTCATTTAATTAATTTGAAAACTATTCTGCCATATTATTGCGGTGACAACTGCGATCCGATTGGCCAACCCGAATTCGAAACAATTGACGGGTGTCGTCAATTGTTTCACTCCAAATCGACCAGTTTAACTTGAGCTTTGCTATAATGAAAAATAAAAATTAGTTTAATATTTAATTACCGAAGAAATGTGATTCCGTTTGTTTTGTAATTAGATGTTTTGCTGTTTTTCCCACACTACCGAATGGAACAGCCCCCACATTGTTAGAGATATTATCTTTATTACAATAAATACAGAATATTTTTGGAATATACGGAGACGTACACACAAGTCAGTTGTTGGCGTTCAGCTTTCTAATTTGTGATTTCAGCGCAAACGACAGTCGTTATTTAAAAGTGATTTTTTTAGTGATTTGCCTGTTGAGTTGCCAGGGATGGATGGTCCTTATTAGGTCTCTATTTCTGGCTATATACTCGATGTAATTATGGAACCGGTTCTGTTTTAAGCTTGTTTTTTGTTTCTTTTTTCACAAAATTAGTCTTTTGTTTTTTTACAAATGTTGTTTTTTGTTTCTTTATTTTTTTCCACAAAATTCTGTGAGCATAATATTACTAAATAAATAATAATATGGTTGTTTACAAAAATAACTGAAACTAACCAAAAAATAATGTTGGCAGTTGTTCATTGGAGGTATCGATCTGTTCTGCGTGCAAAGTGCTCCACTCATCGCTTATTTTTTTACTTAATAACTTCCATTACTTAATATGTAGTTGCAAATGCAGAATTGTAGTAAAGTTGTACAGCGTACTTATGAGCCACTTCGTACATTATGTAAAAATGCAAAAGATTAAGAGACATAATTATGTATACAGTTCATGTAGAGTTTTTAGACTTTCGCAATTGCTACACAATGGAAATGAAACTAACTTTTCAGATCCAAATCGCGTACCTATATTTGTTCGTTCAAACAAACCGTTTGTTTCGGTTTATTTAGATACGAAATAGTTTAATTTTCAAGACATAAAGTCAGGTGGAGTAAGAGGAACACAGGGGGGAGAGGGACTAAAATCCATAATACCTAAAGTAAAGCCTTTAGCATTATAGTCTCTCAGTCGGTGAAACAGACAAACAAATTAGTTTTAACGGTTGTAAAGAGATGTTGCTACGATGTTTCAAATTTGAATGAGGAGAAAAAAAATTGACAGTTGTGTAGTCCGAAAACACGAAATGGGCGCGTAATTTTTTCTTTGCTGGATCTTGGTGAAAAAAGTGCTGGAGATTATTTTTATAGAAAAACATTAGACAAGAGGAACATATGTTCCTCTTCCCCCGTGTCAGGGCCAGCCTTTTAAAGCCAGCAGTAAAATTCTGGAAGCACATTTTTTCCATCAGGAATTTTTAGAAAATTTAATATTTTAGTCTGAAACTAAAAAAAAAATTGCATGAGCTCTAATACTAATGACTAATAATAATAATGACGTAGTCTAAGAACAAACACAAAAATGGCTCATTAGCAGCTACGCGTAGCTAACGTGCAATGCTACGTGGCCACACTACTTCTATACCAAATTTCAATTGATTTAGTGAAACGGTTTTCAAAGTAGAGTGGTTATGGTGACTAAAGAAGATAATATAAGAAAAAAGAAATTTTGTTAGAAGAGTAAATTTATTTTTGGACCAAACATTGTTTTTCTATTATGATTTTAAAAAGTACTGTATGTAGTAAGCTTTGCACTAAAAAAATATAACAGGTTCACTTTTCTTTAATGTCACCCCTGACCTTGACTTGTATGTTCCTTTTGCCGCAAAATTAATTTTTCAATTTTTTTTGATAACTATACGTTATTTCAATGGTTTTAAGATTAAATTTGATTGAAATAGTTTTACTTAGGACTTAACTACGGGTATATTTAAATAAATATTATGTTTATATGAAATATGATATCAGTTAATCCTACCCCATTTTTTGGGGGAAGATAAACTTAGCCCAACCCGAACGTTTTTGTCAGATAATAGGGGTTAAAGTATGAAATTGCCGATTTGTACTGAAAATCTAAATTGTTTATTTTTTAAATTTTTAACAAATTTATTTAATCAAAATAGTTGCCATTATTATCTATACATTGCTGCCATCTAATGGGAAGGTTATTAATGCCTTTGAGATAGAACTCCGACGATCTACACTGCACAAACTGTGTGAAAGTATTTTGTACTGCCTCCTGGGAAGAAAACTTCTTGTCACGTAGATAATTGTCCAAATCACGAAAAGAATGGTAGTCCGTTGGAGCAAGGTCTGGTGAATACGGAGGATGACGAATGGTTCCTGAAGGGTCAAAATGGTTTCTCGTGCTGTGTGAAGTCTCGCGTTGTCGTGGAGCAATAATGGTGAAGATCGATTCATGAGTCGGGGCTGTTTTACTGCTAGTTTTGTCAACATGGTTCGGAGTTCGGCACAATAGACATCTGCCGTTATTGCTTGACCAGATCGGAGAAAACTATAGTGAATAACACCATGCTGAGACCACCAAACAGTTACCATTACCTTTTTATTGGTAAGTTTTGCTTTAGGACACTGTTGTGACATTTGACCTGGGGTCAGCCATTGCATTTTTCTTTTCCGGTTATCATAAAGAATCCACTTTTCATCACATGTTACAATTCGATCCAATATTCCTTCATTTCTGTACCGGTTCAACAAGGCAACACAAGTTTCAACACGCGTTTCTTTCTGCAGATCAGTCAAATCATGAGGCACCCATTTTTCGTATTTTTTTATTTTATTGATTTGACGCAAGTGAGTCAATATTGTGGGTAAGGTAACGTTAAACCATGCCGCTAATTCCTGGGTAGTTTGACTAGGATCGGCTTCCACTATCTCTCTTAATTCATCGTTATTCACCTGTGTCGGGCGGTCTTCCTCGTGGCTCGTTCTTTAAGTCGAAATTTCCATCACGAAAGCGTTTAAACCAAAATCGCACAGTGCGTTCATTAGTAGACCCCTCTCCAAACGCAGCATTGATATTGCGGGCTGTTTCTGCCGCGTTAGTTCCGCGTCGGAACTCGTATTAAAAAATCACTCGAATTTTCGCAGTATCCATCTTTCTTGTCTAAATTGAATAACAAAAACAATTGAAAGTCGATATTCAAATGTTTCAAATTTAAAAAAAAAAGATCACAGAAACCATTTGAAAAAAGTTTCATTCGAAAACCTCAAACCATGAAGATTCTATGAAAATTCAAAGAACCTATTGCAATAAAACGGCAATTTCATACTTTAACCCCTAATACATCGTAAGTATTAATTTTAGCGTAACAATTACTAAAACATGGAAAACTGTTAAACAAGTCAAGATTAGATTATTTCGAAATTCGTATAAGACATTATTATATTTGTTATATTATATTATTTATTCCTCCTAGAACGCATAACATTTGGCTCGAAATAAAGTATGTTCCTCTTACCCCACCCGACCTTAGTTCGATCAATAAAGGTTATTTGTAATGCAAAATATCACTATCGTATTGTATTTCTGACTTTGTTCGTGATTTTTATTTAAGAAAATTATACTATGTATATTTCAGCGGTTGCTAACGAATAACAAAGTTAATAAAAAAGGACCCGCCTACAAATATATGGAAACATTTGTTGGCCCTGGAATATTGTCTGGAGGTAAGTCATAGAAAAAGAAAATTTTACATTTCTATTAAGTAATCCTAAGTCACTTAGTAGAGACATTTCACCCTTTATGTAATAAGGTCACTTCTGCAAAATTACTACTTTTCAAGAGAGGCGTTTAAAGATTATAGGAACGAAATTGGTCGATAACTTTTTATGTTTGAATAGGAGAGTTATATTAACACTACGCCAACTTCATTTTTTGGTCATCTCTGTTTTTATTTTGTTTTTTGTTTCTTTTTTCACAAAATTCGTTTTTTTGTATTTTTTCTAATGTTGTTTTTTGTTTCTTTATATTTTTTCACAAAATTTGTTTTCATTGTATTTTGTTATTTTGTCTTTATTTTTTTTCCGCAGAATTCGGGAAGCATTATATTAATAAATAAAATAGGGCTGTTTACATCAAAAACAGAAAATGACCACAAAATTAAATTGGCGTAGGGTTCGAAGTATCGATAAGTTTCATGTAGTTAGTATTATTTTTATGACTTTCATATGATAAAATTACTTTTGACCTATGTAAGTTTTAATTTTTATTTATTACACCATGTACTTTTATTTATTACACATTTTAGTTATTATACCATGGATGCGAATAGAGAACTCTGTAAATATCTATAGAGTTCTCAGGTTTTCGCGATTGTTGCACATAGGAAATGGAACTGTTTTTCAGGATTTAAATCGCATAATAATATATTTGTTTTTTGAAACAAACCATACAGGCCCCATGGTCACGGTTGACTGAGGTGATACAGTCATCAACCAGTTATGTCTAATATTAATGCAAACCACCCTATAATTTCACTATAGTTACAAAAGTTATTAATTAAAACCTTATTTTTAATTTTACAAAGAAACATTCCAATTTACGCTACATTGTTTTATAAATTATTTTATTGTAACAATATGAAATTTTTATTTAGTTAAATTTATTATTAATCAATAATGGAAATTAGAATAAATTAAAACATATTAATTAGTACTGCAGTCTTATGTCTGTTTGGGATTTTTCATCAGAGGAAAGTGTAATAACGTTGGTTTGTTTGAAAAAACAAATATACGCGGTTTAAATCCGGAAAAATAGTTTCATTTCCTATCTGTACATATCTGTTACGGGACCGTAGGAGATACGTCACTTACTTACACAACCTGACCTATTTAAAGATATTCATATAATTATTGATAATAATTTTAAAAAAACGCCGTGATACCCTAATGGTTTCACCTACCACCTCTCGAGCAGAGGCCGTGGGTCCGGAGTCGCACCTTACGTAGTAACTATTAATAAAAATGGAAGTAACTTCATATGCTACTCCTCGAACCTACGTTATTAAGTTAAGAATAATCTATATCGCTTTTCGGTGAAAGAGAACATCCTCATGAAACCTGCACGTCGATGAAGGTTCACAACCCTCGAAAAACGATAGAGGGGGCCCGTGCCCACTAGTGGGACGTATAAATGGGTTGATGATGAACATAATTAACCGATTTTAAAAAAGGAGGAGATCCTCAATTCGACTGTTACGCAATAACTCCGGAGGCATTTGTGAACCGATTTTGATGATTATTTTTTGTTGGAAAGAGGTCAGTAGTGGTCCCGTTTACTTTGACGAAAATATTCCACCTCTAAGGGTGGCAAACTAAGGGATGAATGACTTTTGAGGTCGGTTTTTTAGTACAATGCAGTATAGTATCAGCAAGACAGTAGATGATATTATAATAATAAGTATAGTTACAATAATTATAACTTTTTATAAACAAAAACTGACCTTTTATTGAAATCGGTTACCGGAAAATATGCCAAACCGGATTCATCCCCAACTTTGATACTCTTATAGGTGGAATATTTTCTTCAAATTTAAATTGGACCAATGCTGAAGTGGGCCGCGGACACATTGAACCCCGGGGTCGATTCAAAACCTTACGATAACTCTGTTGTCGACCGATTTCTTTTCATTTTTATTCACAATACCCGAATCGAACGTTAAACTGTCGTACTCGAAACCGAACCGGAATGACGTCACACCCATACGATTACTCGAATACGATTATTTGAATGCAAAACCAATGCATTCCTATATTTTAGACCTTTAAAGTCTTATAAATGTATGTAACAAGATTTTCATTTTTCTTATGAACTATTTCACCGAGTAACTTCGTAAACGCTGTTGGATAACGATATCGTTTCCGAACGGGGGGTCTACTCTCGATTTCCGCCCGACATCCGCCCGAAACAATTACTGTCAAATAAGTAATATTCGACAAAATTAAAAGACAAGTATCAAGTATGAAGCTTCATTCGCATCACGCGTCTTTTCATTTGGTCAAGTATTGCTTATATGGCAGTAATTGTTTCGGACGGATGTCGGACGGAGATCGAGAGTAGACCCCGAACGTTTAACTCGCAATGTTCTGAATAGCTCGGCTGTTTTGACGACTGTCGCTTGCCGAAAGCGACCGTGTGGCCCACCACAGTGTTTACTCCTAGTCGCTTTGGTCGACTTAAGGTATTTTCCAACGAAAAAGGAATCATCAAAATCGGTTCACAAATGCATCGCGTAACATACATAAAAATACAGCCGAATTGAGTTTTTTGAAGTCTGTTTGAAAATACTAATAGTAACTAACGACACTCTGTAAATGTCTTTTATAACGTTCACACTAACGTCATTTCACTATTATAGACGACCTCGGTGGCCCAACGGCTTATACCGTGTAATAAGTATAAGTAGTGTATAAGGTCTCTGGTTCGATTCAAGTAAAACCAAGCTGGGAAATAAACGTTTCTAAATTGGTATTGGTCCGGGTGTTCTGGGAAGTGCTCCAGAGTGAATTCCCTTGCTCTGGTTCTCATAACACAGGGGATTCCCTAGTTTGAGACCAGGCAAAAAAGTAATGATTGGCAAATATAGACATCAAGCAACATTATACAATAGTTTAGTACATTTCAGGCCCTACCTGGCGACTTCACAGAAAGATAGCCAACCTATCGTACAACAAGAAAGCAATTCAACATTACTCTGTGGCGTCCAACAAATACGCCATTAGACTAGCTGAAGTATTGGGCAACAAGGAACCTAATGTTACTTTCAATGTATACCACGATGTTGTCAAATTTACTACATTGAGCACTTGCGGTAAGTAGCACATACAGGTCCATTTATCGGACACAAATTTCATCGCGCTAACCACGCGCGGTCGCCGAGCGGAGTACGCGTTGCCCCGCGCAGCGACCGCATGCGTCTAACTGTTATGGCAAAATACACTTTATTTATTTAGCTTTTACGCTTAAATGAGCGTCTGTAACAGACACGCGGGCGATCTGCACGGCGACCGCGCGGTTATATTATTCAGACGAATTTAAAAGTTGTTGCCTAGTAAATAGAATTCAGATTCGCCATTAAAGAGCACAAAGGCGTGGTAACTGGGCGTACGCTGCGTGGCGGCGCGCAATCTTTCTCCCCGTATAACTGGGCGGTTAGGCTCAATTTACAATGCGGGGGAACGGAATGGAAGCGCCAATTTCGCCTCGCTGCGCGAGAAGACACGTGCAGTCGGCCGCGCCTTGGCTGTAGTATTTCGTTGACGTTTGACGTCAGAAGAACGAGAAGAACGAGTAAGAAACTCTAGGGATTGCTCTTTTGAAATAAACGTAAACGCTGTAGAATACACTATGAATCAAATTTGTGTGGAATCTAGACCCATGTTGTCTTTCCATACGACTTTATCTAACAAGTAGAACGAGAGTACAGGGCCAGGATCCGACGTCGACAAGCGCGTGATAGCAACTGACGGCGCAGCCAAAATAAAACCCAAAACCAAAATTTTGCCGGTTGTCTGCTGTAGATACCTACTTAAAGAAAAACATTTCCATATGAAAATTTAGTAGGTGTATAAAGTTACATATTTTTTTCTTAAATAATTCTTTTTTGTACTTTCATTGCAGCCTGTTTTCAGGATTTTATATGATCGGATAAAGTACATCATATCGTGTAAGACATTAGCACATTAGACAATATCCCTAAGGTATCGAATATTTTTTGTAATACCCTTTTTGGTAGTAAATACCAAACAATTTGATCTAGGAAAACAGCTTTTCTCGCTTCTCCTCCGGTGACTCAGCTTAAGAAATAACCTGCAACTATGCATTACAGATTCAATAATGGGTTTATCCGAAGATGAAATCAAAAACGTAAGGGGGATGAGTGCCGTCGTAGCAGATACTCAAGAGTAGGTAAACTATAATACATACCTCTTTAAACTCTAATGTCTTTTTATCATTTTACAGTAGACCGTTTGTGGATAAAAAATGTATCTGGTCCCAATCCAAATCAAGCTTTAATTAATGCTTTTATTAATTATGTAATATATATTGAAAGCAATCCTACTTCTGATCTAAAAATTTTTCATGGTAAACATAGTAATGAAACTCCAGTGACTGTTACAAATTATATTATAAGATCATTTCACTATAAATCCAAACAAAACGAAGCCACGTCCCTTCTCGTCAAATATGTTTTTCACAGTGGCGGTTAATCTCCATGTACTCGATGTCTCCTTACTACAGTAGTAACTGAAAAAGGTCAAAACTCCGTCTTATCTATTATAGATGGCCGTGGATATCATTTAATACCTCTTTAATATGGAATATAAAAAGTCATTTTTTTCCTTGTAATATATTATTCAAATAATGATCATGCGCTAAAATTATTTTCTGAATATTGATTTCTGAATAAATAAATGGCATTGTGTATTACAAACTAATTTATAAATTAACGCTTCCTGATGTGCATAGATGTCGCTAACCCTAAAAAAAATAAAAGAATAGCGGGTACTGTCCATAAAAATCTGTGCAATAAGCGCCTTCTATTTGATTTGTTCGTTATCACTAGAAATTTAGTAGCAGTAGAGCTCCTTGTGAAAGAGTTCGTCCAGGGAAGTACTGCCACCTATTTCTGCCGCGAAGCAGCAATGTCAGCAGTACTGTGTTCCGGCTTTGAAGGGTAAGGGGTGCTGGTGAAATTACAGGCACATAGGACTTGTCAATTTATGTCTCAGGGTGACGGGTGCAGTAGCAGTGCCCCTCAGATCTTTGCGATTTAACTCTGAGTGGCACTGCAACTGTTATGGACAGGCGTGTAGCTTACCATCAGGCCCACTACTTTAGGATATCTTTGATAACTTGCAGCTTGTCAATGTAAAAAGTTACAAAAATAGCTATTTGTGCTCATCACGACATCTAGTATACCAATAGGTACTAAATAGACGACTACGCTGTCTTGCATTACGATTAAAAATTCTTTAGTTATGGATACATGTTATAGCAAACACTTCCCTGCTGACAGAAAATGAGTAAATTAGCATTGATAACATAGCCATGTAAAAAAGAGTAGAGATGAAAATGAAAACGCAAGTGCGACATCGTGATGTTTTTTAACTTCCAAAGACCCAGCAAAGTACAATGGGAAAAACGCTGAACGCCCGATGTAGTGCATCAAAATCAAAAAAATCAAAATCAAAATAATCTTTATTTCATAGGTAAGCATTATTACACTTGAAATTGTCACATTGGTTAAACTCTATCGTTCTTTCGTAAGGCAGTTTCCCCTGAGAAGAATGAGCAATTAACTCTAGGGGTTGCTCTTTGTAAATAACCTTTGTACACTTTCAATATTTGCAATATTTTTTTTGTTTTCAATCATCATAGATCGAGACTACCTCCTAATACATAAATTGTATTAAATATAATTACATGCTTCAGACCCCAGCAAATATGTTCTCATATTTTTATGAAAAACATATTTCTGTATATACTCTATTGTCATATACTTTTATAATATATAACACTAAATTTGAATGAGATATTTCTGGGTATCACTGGGTCTTAAGAGATTATGCAGTCGATAAATAGGTCATACTTACACAACCTGAAAGGGTTGTAATCCTAACAAGCCCTGATCAGGTTCACGGCAATAAAACAAAAAACTTCAGGTCCACAAATTTATTTAAAGTCGGATTAAGATATTAAGTAGACACTTACCCCAAAAGGGCCGAGTTATACTGAATTACAGATACGTATTCATAGGTACATGATAAAGGCTGTAGCGGTTATAACTTATTAAAATTAGCTCATGATTCAGATTACTAATGATAATAAACTTAATAAAGGAATCAAAATTAGACGCGATTGAATTTTAACAGCTCCGTACGCTGTCGCGATCGAACAGGTAGTGACAGTGGAACGAAACAAAATCAGAATGCGAGGCAAAATAACTATGGACAATTCAAAATTTTAATTTAGATACGAGCGGCCAGGCACTGGAGAAAGGCGATAAAAAGGTGGGATGACGATGTAAGGTCACAAACCTAACCTAATTGAAGATGTTTAAAAATAAATAAAAAAACACAGTGGTAGCCTAATGGTAACCTACCGCCTTTCAAACAGAGACCGTGGGTTCGAATTCATCTGAGTTTCTCGGAATTTATGTGCGAAATTTAATTTGAAACCATGAGCTTTTCGTTGATGGAAAACGTGATGAATCCTACAAAGAAGGTTCACGTCTTCGGAAAACCCGCAGTGGACCAGTGCGGTGGGCTATGGCCTAAACCCGTGCCCAGCATTGGGACGTATAAACGGGTTGATGATAAAATAATAATATGATGATAAATATTCTGCCTGAGATTCACTTAAGGGTTCCAGCTAAGCAGTTACGTAACGAGTCAGTAATTCATTTACCTACCTGTCGCTTTACAAAATTATAAACGGAATTCGTTTATATGGCGTGCGAGCAATAATTTTAACAAAGTTTCTGCTCTTTACGATTTTGATTTGTTCAACACAAACTGTGCGTAAGTTATATAATTTTTTTATTACTAAAGTAATCTAATTTGCATAACGTTAGTACACTGTACTGAGATTATATCATGTGTCATCTGTTATAGTGTCGTTTAGTTGTTTAGTGTTGTCAACGCTGTATTTTGCTACTGTATTTTTATCAGTAGGGAACTGTTTTTGTTTATAATTATTTAATATAGTTTATATTACATTGCGATACAAGCTGATTGTACCCTTAAAAAACAATAAAAATAAGTACTTACTAAAAAATACTCATAATAACCAACGACTGTGTGAAATTTTTGTAATCTTTTCTTTCACAGTATCTACGACTTCGCATATTCGAATATGACATTCTGGTGGTTACGTTTACCCTTAATATACTGGCTAAGTGGCAGAAAATCGAAAGAGAAATATTATAAAACAAACATCGATTTAATGACTGCGGACATAATATCGTTGAGAAAAAATGCAATAGAGAAATATGGTGTCGTTGAAGAATCCATGTGTGTGGTGGACAGGTACATAATGTCGGGTGAATTGACTGACCAGGAAGTTATGTGGGAGATTATAACGTTTTTTACAGCCGTAAGTATCTTTTTTGTAGGGCTGACGATTTGTAGAGGCGTAGCTGTCTTAGACACGGTCCACACGGTGCTATGGTACCGTAGCGGCGGTGACAGAAGAGTGTTGTTCGAACAACTGTCCATTAACAAAAATGGATCCGAAGAGATGAGTGTTGTTGTTCTTATTACTGTGCTCTGTCAAAAGCGATGTAAAAGCACATGATGATACTGGATTAAACCTTTTATTGCATTAAAAAATAGAGTGCACCGTGTTATCACACGGTCATAACATACAATTAGCCATGGTAGACATACCATGGCTAATTGTATTGTGGTCAAAACACAAAACTGCGATGCGATGTATCGCAGAAATCTAGGGGCTCGCAAGACGCATCGCAAGAATTTGCAAATTGCTTATACATATACTTTTTATCAATAACAGCAGTGCAACCCTCTTTTAACCGACTTCAAAAAAGGTGGAGGTACTCAATTCGACTGTACGTTTTTTTGTATGTACGTTACGCGATAACTTCGGTATTTGTGAACCAATTTTCATGATTCTATTTTGTTGGAAAGAGGGTATCTCCATAGTGGTCCCATTTAATTTTTGAAGAAAATCATCCATCTCTAAGGGTGGCTGTTCACGCATGAAGATTCATTTTTATAAATAGCGCTTAGTTTTTATTATAAGCAGCAATTATTTTAATGGTTGATTTTGCTAT